TCACTTTTTAACCATTTTCATTGCATCAGAAGATGAAAAGTATAGAAAATATACCTGATCTGATTACAAATCCTCATCACAAACTTTTAAAGATATTCATGCTATTTGAAAGGAGTGATGAATATCAGAATTTGGACAAAAGACTCATTTAGCAATATGTGCATAAAATTAAATAAAATTTCAAAGATCTTTAAATTCAAACCTATCAAATATACAAAGCTAATATTTGGAATTTTTACCAAAACATGGGAATTTTTCAGAATCTGAGAGAATATTGAAATTCTTGAACTGTTTCATTTCCCTTATTTTCATAGCTATTAAGCATTTCCCAAGTCACACTTGATGATGGGCTTACAAGAAAAGGTTATGTACACAAGCTACATGCACACTTATCAGGGTTAATAGTTTCCCAAAGTATATGTGAACACTTTAAAAATGCTTAGTGCTCTCATCCATTTAGAAAGAGTATACGCACAAACTAAAAAGGAGATGCTGAAAAGGTTTTCAATTGCTTCTCAAAATCAACATTTTTTTTGTCACTGTAGCTGGAAAAAGTGATCTTTTATAATTTATATTGTTAAACATCAAGTTGCAGAATCTTTGCACTTAGTTTATTTACTTTGTTTCAATGATCTTATGCAATAAAAAAAAGTGTGGAATTTTCAAGTGTTGAATTTCAGGCCATCATCATGTTCCTGTAGAAAACTCCAGATGAAATCTACGATACAAACATTGGGTGCCAAGTGTCCACCAACCCCAACTGTTAAGAAGTGTTGTACCAACTTTCAGCATGGATATCTTGGGGTGCAAAATACAGCATGGCTTGGGAGGCCTTCAATGATGCCAAATCCTGAAATTCTTGATCATGTTCATGACCTAATTTTGGTCAATCAATGAATCTCAGCCAAAATATTGCTAAGATATTAGAGATACCCAGGAAATGCTTTGCTATCAGCAAAGCATGTCAGTCAGAAAGAATATCAAATGAACACCACCAAGTAGAGTTTACAGCATTTTTTGAAGTGCTCTAGAGATAATTGTTTGGCACAAATTGTCATTGTTAATCAGGAGAGAAAAACAAAAGTCAATACAGTGGCAGCACTTGGTTTCTCCACAACCAAAGAAATTCAAAATCCAAAGTCAGCAGGGAAGGTCATAGCTACACTTTTGGGCGGATTAGGAAGATCTTCAGAAAAGTCAAACAATTTAGGTAAGGCTGTGCCAATTAAAGGAGGTGTTAAAAGAAAAATGGCAAGGGAAGTTGCAGAAAGATGTTTTCTTTTTCAATGCACCTGATCACAGGGGTTGGCAAGATAGAAGTTTTGAAGAATTTGAAGTCTGAGTACATTGCTTCATCCAACTGCTCCCTTTTTCTAAACTTTAAAAGGAAGTTGAAGAGGAAAAGATATTTAAATATATCAGAACTGAGCAGCATTTCAATCACCAAACATCAGAATCTGTTTTTGGAAAGTTTAAAAAAATTTGAGAAACAATGCGCCAAGTGTACTGAGCTGTGGGGTAAATATGTAGAATAGCATATACTTTATGTAACTCTAGGTCACTGATTTTTCTTGGTCAGACCAAGAACTTTGAGCAGCGCCTTATAATGATAGACTATCTACAGACATACACAGGTGATACAGAGGCTGGCATAAGCAAAACTAATGGCATTGGTAATAGATCATCAATAAAACAAAATCAAATGTCTCATCCACTTATCAATCTTAATCTGCAATGGAATTCACTGGACATAAAGATACATGTATGATGATGCACACTATAAGCCAGTAAAACATGTGATATTATGCAGTTTCTGTATACATTTGACATGAAGTATTGTAACTATTAACATTGTTTGAACTGTTGTCCTCATTTTTATTGCCATATTCACGTTTCAGACACTGTACACTCCAACCTTCTACAGGTGATATTTGTTGGAATTTTGAACCAAACCCTTTATTTAGAATTTCACGTGCCATGCCATTGGATATCACAGTTTTAGTTAATTCCTTTTTGATAACTCAACACTCCAAGATTTTGTTCTCTCTTCTGAGGCTAGGAATTGAACTCACAACTATTTTGATCAAGTCACTTTCACTTTTATTCACTGGGCTATGTCATGAATATGGCAATAAAGATGAGGACAACAGATATGATTCAAATATGATTCGTGACATGCCTTATAATTCATATAATCAGTTGGCCTCTGCTACCACAGTCCAGATTTAAATTCACAAATGATTAAGCTTCACTTATTCATAAAACAAGTGAAATATATTCCTACTCATCATTGTTTTATATTAACTAGTATTTGTCAACAAGGTCCTTAAAATGCCAAATTCAAATATTAGTAGCCATATTCTTTGCTTTTCCATTCAGAGAAAGGGAGGGGTAATCAAGTATAAATATTTCTTACATTGCACAAAATTTCAGAATTTTCATAAAAATGTATCTAAGATGGTGCATTGGAAGAGGCTATTTATAGCAACTCCAAAAAAGAAAACATGTAAAGAAATCAGGGTTTAAATGATGCTGACATAATTATTCTTTGCCACTTCTCAAAAGAAAATAATGGATGCAACATCTTTTCCAGCCATGCTGAATCAAGAAGAGAACATTAACATCACTAACAAGTGTACAACAAGTAGATTTGTATGTGATATAAAAATACCTTAAGATATATGAGCAAAGGCAAATGTTTCAACCCAACTGACATTAAGCTTCAAGCCAGCACGGGATGAGCATGCAAGAAATCAAAAGTCATGGGGAAGGGCAGAAGAGCAGTAGCAATTAGAGAAAGCAAGACATCCAGCCAAACTAGCAAACAACACAAGGCCAGACTACAAGCTTGAGGCCACAAGGAGATTTGTGGTTAATAAATATTCACTGCTGGCTTTGGTATAGAACTGAATAAAGCTCCTCAACAATTAATTGAAATGTTTCAGTTCTTTTCTCTTTAAAAAAAAAAACTAATTATTGCATAGAAAAATGCTTTGCTTTTGAAAAGAAATTAATTTATTAAAATTTACCATTAGGATCTTTTATATAACAAATATATTTCATAATTTGAAAGAATAGAATACAACAAAATAGATTAAAAAATAGTTAATTCAGCATTGTAGGACATTTGTATGAACTAGCATCACATTTTTCTTATTTTTATGCTACTATTTCTTTTGCTCCTAATCAAGACAGACAATAAGGCTTAACTTTTTTTCAATATAAAATCTCAATAGTTCAGATTCAAAGTTTCTTTCATCATTGGATCCAATTATAATAAAAGCATAATTAAATTCCTGATAAATACAAGGTTCAAAGAAACAGAGCCTGCAATTCTTGAAATTTTTACTTCTAAGTCTGGTTAAGAATATAGGTAAATTCCTTAGAATTTCTCCAAACTGATTCTGAAAAAAAAAGAATCAGGTATGATTTTTCCAGACAAAGACAACACACCTAAAAATAAAACCCACTCAGCAATAAATATTGGCCTACTGCCTTCTAAGTTGTTTCAAGTTTTAAATTGACACAAGAAAAAAAATCAAAGTCAGCCACAAAGCCTATGTTTTGAAGTGAATACTATTCAAGAATGAGGTTCATGATGCAACAGGATTATTAAAAGATTTTGATCCTATTGTGTGTCAGTTATATAGATATTTTCTGTCTGTATACCAAACTGACTGACAATTATAACTGTTAATGCACCTTGACTTCAATCAATCTCACTAACTGGTTAGGAGAAAATCAAAAACTATTCTGAATCATTATTGTTTAAAAAAAAGAGTAAGCAGAGTTTATTTGTAAAGGAATTGAAAACTTTCAACTGACAGCAGACTATTTTTGATGAAATTGAAGATGAATAACCAGGTTTATGCACTTTACCAGGGGACATGTTCAAAGAAGACTCAAACAACAGTTGAATAAAATTTGAAAATTCCAATTACATAAAAAATCTCTTCACTATGGCAGACCTTCCTGAAAAACCTTGAAGAGCTTGAAAAAGATGAAACTAAATAAAAGTCACTGCTGATTGCAATTTTCAAGACATTTTCTCTTGAGTAAAATTTATTGAACAAAAATGGCTAATTTCTTGGATGACTTATTTTTGTTTTTCCATTTTTAATTACAGCCATTATCATATCTCTGAACGTACTTAAATGCAATCTAATGGATCTATATTTAAAAATAAGAATTAAAAATTTTAAGATATTTAAATTTAGAACCCTGCTTAAATTTGGTGATACCCAGGAATCCTTATCATGAATAGTTTAAAAACATGAGAAGAATAAAAAGCAGGAAAATGACTTTGCTAAAAACTTTGAAAACAAATATGGCACCCAATGTAAATACATAAACATAGAATTTCAATGTTCTAATGCTGAAATTAAACATTGTGTTAAGTTTTTTTATTAAGACAGTACATCCATGTCAAATTGTGATATTTATACTGGTAAGTCTCCAACCATCATCAGACCTAGAAGAGGACAAATAGCAGTAACCTGTACAGAAGATGAAACTGCACATTGCAAACCTCATGAATGTACAATCAAAATGCCAAACTTATGACAATGCAGAGAAATTAATCTGAAATTGACCAGCAACATTTCAAAGAAATCCAAAAGAAAAATCATCTGCTAAACAAATCAAATACAATTGTTTAAAGATGATTTTTTTTAGTCTGCTGGCTGTTTTATGCTTGTTAAGTAAAACTAAAACAAGAAAAATTGTTTGTCAGACCTGTATTGTATTGTCTTAAACAAACATCAAGGGCCACAAGGAGCAGCAAATAATAATAATAATAATAATGAGGAGAAAAGGAAGAGGAGGAGAAAAAAAAAGAGAAGAGAAAGAGATAGAAAACAACCAACAACAGCCACTATTGATGGATATTGTGTGTAATAGTTGCATGCAGCAAAAAAAAAAAAAATAAAAAAAAAATAAAAATAAAAAAATAAAAAAGAACCGCCCCACTTAGATGATTGGGTGTGAAAAAGACCACCTACTACTGCCTGGAGGTGCTCACCAGCACAGCAACTGTTGGTCATAGCCGAACTAGCAGCAACATCTCTACATGAGTGTAGGCCAGCTACTGTGGACTGATGTGGCCGGAGAGTGGCGCTCCTGCAGTTAGTCGCCGGACAACATGTTGCCTGGGTGTTTGTCTGACACAGGCTGCAACAAGTTGGCTGACAAAAAAGAAACAGACTTACCAATAGATTTGCTGAGTGACAACTAGAGCCGCCTCGCTAACAGCCACGCTTAGCAGAGGGGTAAGGGATAGGGGAGGGTTAGAGTATTGCCGTCTTATTTTTTTTATTTTTTTTTTAAATGGTCTCATTCAAAAATTTGCATTCAAAACACATTTAAAAGAAAAAACATTACAGCAGCAATCAGAAATCTAACTTTAGTTGGAACCTCGGATATTTATTTTTCAACAATTCTTGAATTTTTTTTTTTTTTTTTTTCAGGAACCCATAAAGTGGACCCAACCAAGAAATTCAGAAAATGAGAGAAAGAGAGAGAAATAAGACAAATGCACCCAGCAGTAATAGTAAGAGAACACCCTTCCCACACAGTATTTTCACCTTTTTTTTTTTCAAAGCAGAGGAAAAGGAAGTCTAAGTTTGGCTTCATTTAAAAAAAAAAAGAAAAAGAAAAAAAAAAGCCTTTTGTTCATTGCTTTCTTTGTCTTAGCTGAGAAAATATGAACATCAAAATTAAATCAGTGGATTATTGTGTCTGGAGCACACTTCACTTCAGACCCACTAAGAACCAACTTCTCAGAGAAGGAAGAGTCCATTTTAGGATATAGTTGAACACTTACAATCCTTCTCATAATATTCAGTTTTCAATATCATCAACCATCCTCAGCTATGAACATTATTAAGTGCAAAATGGTACATGCACCTCCCAAAGAAAAGGGAGTCAGAAAATAAATATACAGATATACATTACAATATTATAAGGGCTATAGAATTGGCAATGTTAAAATAAGGAAATCTACAGATTTACATTTAATAAGGATCTTAAGCAGATCTCTCAAAGGTCGAGAAATGTTTTGGTGAAAATTTGTGCAAACATTCTGCACTTGTAGAATTGGTGTAAATTAAACAATTCCTTTATTTTTCAGAGCTTCCAATACATTATACAACATTTTGCCTCCATTGTGAAATGAAATCAAAGAGAAATAACAACTTGACAAGGTTTTTTGCTTCTCCTCATCTGTGTTATCATTTATATACAAGCAACTCTCTTATCATCTTATCTTCAAGCATTAATCTTCTCTTATTCATTGGCTACTGATTGGTTTGTTTCTTTTCTTATGCCAATTATGTGTAATACATATAAAACAAACCAGAAAGATGTTAAGAAAGTGACCCGATGGAAAGATAACATTGCAGGCAGCAACAACAAAGGTGTGATGGTGAATCAAACATAAAACAGTGCAATTACAACCCCACAGAAGAGAACATATTTTAGTTGGCTAGGTCAATCTTAACAGCTGCCCAGAGCTCCATTCTGCTATCAAGGAAGGAGGCTAATATTTGGACAGAAGAAAAGAAAAAGAGAAATCTTCAGGTCTGTGTAGGAGAGACAGACATAGATCAGTAGTGAAACACTCAACTGAAAGTTCTAAGGTTTGAAATGGCAGTTTGGTGAGGCAGCTCATTATTTTACATTCACAATTCGAAAAGGAAAAGTCATTAAAAACAGGCAAATGAGTACAACATTAGCGTTTGGGGAATCAGAGTGCACATAAGCAGCTGGAAGATAAAATACAATTCAGTCAGGGTTTTCTGTCTGTCTTTAAGGAATTCATGCATCATTAAAATTTGTAAGGATCACAAAAATTAGATTTATTTAACAGAGTTTCATATTTATAATCAAACATTTATACTCAATATATTTGTTCCAACAAAAAGTCAAGTAAGATTGACTTAATAGACAAGAATGAAATACATTTTGTAAATTAGACAAAGCAAAGCTTTGCTTTTGCAAATGTTTAAGCTATTAAATGAAATATTGCATAATGGCATAGGGTTACAGACTGGCCAGCCAGTTTAGTCGTGAATGTTTTGTCTTTATAAGAGGAGGAAAGGTCTGTTGCCATTGGTCTTAGTCTATTTAGCCAAACAATAAAAGAAACAGTTCAAAAGGACAAGAATTTTTTCAATTAAGAGTTTCTTCCAAAGGTAAAATGATAAAAGTTTTTATTTGAAAGAATTTTGCATGCATAAAACTGGTTTGTCAAAGGAAGAAAATAAAAGTAATAATATATGGAAAAGAGAAAAAATCCTGCAAATCAATGATGATTTCAACTGCATTGTTCATTTCAAAAAAAGATGGAAATGAAGGAAAGAGTGGGTGTAACAATATAAATGAAGTACTTACTTTTACCTCAAACTTTTCGAGTTCCTTCTTCTTGTCCATCATGATCTTCTGCAAGCGGCAAGCATCCTGATTTGGCAACACAATAAAAGATTTTCAGTTAGCACTAAAAACTGTGGTAGTTAGAAGGCAAAAATGAAAACATCAAGAGAAGAAATTAGAATAAATCAGAAAGAAAAGACCTTGTCATTTTTGGAGATTTTATTTTTCAAAAAACATCAGCTAAGTATTAAGCTTCATTTACAATTAAAGCAGAAAGTAAATACACATCAATTTCCAATGTTTATAACAAGACAGACAGACAGACAGACAGACAACACTGAGATGGAAAAGACAAGCAGAAACAATAATTTTCAAGAAATTGTGTTCTCAAAGATAGCATGTAAATTCTAGCAGCAAGACAACAAAAGAGTTTATGTAAATAAATATAGAAACAATATATGTTCACATCAGGCATCTAATATTGTTAGTGATGCTGATGAGCAAAAAATAAAATGTTTCAATATGAAATCTAGCAGAACTATTTCTGCTCAAATATTACACTAAAGAAGTTGCAAAAAAAACGAGTTCTTAATAGCCTGTGGAGAAAGATACAACTATGAGAGAAAATACCAACCATAGGAATGTCTTAATATTTGTCTAACAGCACAAAAGAAGTAAAAGTCCACCTAACTAATTCACAGAATTATAACAGAAGAATCAGTAGGGGTGACTTCAGGATACTTCAAAACCATCATTAGTAGACAAATGCATCAACACAGAAAAACATTTTTGAAAAAGATGGCACATTCTTGTTTTGCTTTAAAATGTCAATCCTGAAATTTTAAAAAACTTCCACAGCAGAAGAAAAGAGCATGAAGAAGTATTGTGTTGTTGAGGATTGATGTCTGAAGGCCATAAATGGTTCTTCAACATGGACAAATAACATTCAGACCAGGTGTGTTTAAGCTTTTAAAAAAAATGATGGAAACAGAGAGACATTGTACAAAATATATATAGAATGTTTTTAAAAATGTAACTGACAATTAAAAAAAACATTAGTTATTGGAAAATAAAGCATGTCAAGACATAATAAAAGCAACTTGTTGAACATTGTGAGGAAGAATGAAAGTTCAAAAGCCTCCAGTAATAATGAACAAAAGATGAAATGTTTCAGAGCTACATTGAAAGGACTCAAGGAATTGAAGGCCATCAAACAACAATTAGAGTTTTTATGAAGTTCTATTTCAGAGTCTCTGCTGTGGCAATTTGCAAGCAACAGGAGAAAGCTAGTCATTTCAAGAACAGAGAAATAAGACTGAGCATCCAACAAAGAACAGTCTGTTGATACAGCAATTCAGAGAAAAAGAGAGAATTTCAATCTTTTTACTTGACATGACTTATAACCATTATGAAAAAATTATCACACATTTTAAATTGACAAGCTTTCTTTTTAGTGGTATACACCCATTTCTTTCCATAAATTATTGTCTGAAGTTTACATTGATAACAAAATAATCTAATAAATAATTTTTAACAAACATACATTTCCAGTTGTGTCATTTTGATAGCCTCTTTCCTGACAGTATAATTTTTGCAAAAAGATGTTAATAACTACACACCCTGCCTCACTTCTTAGATAGTATAGAAGTATATGTTGCTCTTCTTATTGATATAAAGACTAGATAAGAGTATAATGTAAAAATAAAAAATAAAAGAAATGATTTGTAATCCAAAAGAGAACCCCTTCCTTCCTTCCTTCAGCAATGACTGTTGCATGTCTGAGTGGATAAGCCTTGACCTTTATCAAACCAATGAAAAGCTCTCAAGGTGAAGCAGCTGTTCTTAAATAAACATAGTGATATTATTACAACACAAAGGCAAAATGTATAAACTGTCAAAATACAATTTGTTGAACACAGAAAACACTTCCAAGTGCCTATATGAAAATAGATTGAAATTGTCAATATATTAATAATGATCAGTCTTGCCTACATTCTCTGTTGTGTACCTTGTAAAATTGAAAACCCAATGAGGGGAAAAAAAAAAACACACACACAGATGCTCATATCAGATGTGCATCCATTACTTATACTCTGCTCTTTAAGGCAAGACAAAAAAAATTCATGATCATTTGAGCATGAAATTAGAGATTTCAAGTGAAGGAGAAAAGGGAATTGAGCGAGTAGTGCAGAAGAGGGTTTACCTTGTACAGAGAAGACTCATCAGTATTATAATGTTTTGCATTGTCAAATATTAAGTTCAAATCAGCAGCCAATTCATCAAGTGTTTCATACTTTTGTTTCTGTGGAGATAAAAAGAAAACATCTCAGCAGCAATTGGGTCTTCTGCACATTGAAGCTTGACTGACATATGACAGGAGAGAAACCACCCGCAATTTAAGTCATTCAATTTCTAGCAGATGTTTCACAAGTTAAAATGTTCACTTGTTGTAGTTCAGTCAGATAGCAATGTTTCATTAGTCTTCATTCCATTTGGGATGCTGTATCAGAGAGAGAGAGAGAGATGTTCCAGGGCATAGAAACAGTTAATTTATAAAAGAAAAAAAAAAAAAATGGGTGGTGACTTATAAAACATACTTCAGTTCAAAGAATCAAGAAATGAAATGATATAAATGAAAAGGACTTTGTAGGGTGGAGGCAAGGTAAATACAGTTTTTACTCTTCTCCCATTTAATGTTAACTTTCATTAGCCAAAGTCAAGTTGCTAGGTCACTGGACAGATTCAAAGAAAGATGGCAAAATGAGGAAATGATTAAAAAAAACTCTTGATATCAATAAACAGATAACACATTTGCCTTAAAAAAAATGTCTAACTTTGTAAAAGAAAATCAAATAAAAACAAACATTTTCTACATTATGAAAATTTAAATATTTTCAGCTTTTTAAAATTCTTTCAAATTTCATCTTTCACTTGATTTTGAAAATTCTAGCTATTTTTATTGTAATATTTGTTTCAGGATTCAAATTGGTGGATTCCGTTAGACTCTACATCTTTTTATTATATTCACATTTTATGAAACAATGGCAACAACCACATTGCAATCCTACAGACCTTGTACAAAAGAAAATTCAATATAAAACAAAAAGTTAAAGGAAAATCTACTTAAACAAAAGGAACTTTTAAAACCATCAATTTGATCAAGTCCCCTGATTGAATAAATTAAAAGATTTGCCAACTGAACACGTTAATTGAAATAATAATTTTCTTTTATTAAATTTACAAAAGTTTTAAGTATCATACTTTTAAAAAGACAAGTAGAAAGTTCAACTCTATGTTGTTGATGATTATGATGTTTGCACATCTTACCTTGATCTTTTTCCGTACATTGAATAAAGCCATGGGCATCTTTATTTCTTCATAATAGTCAGGATACTGCCTAGACAACATAAAGAAAAGTAATTCAAAAAGGAAAACTCTTCTCATGATTTGATTAATAATAAAGAGTAAAAGAAAAAGTGAAGATAGAATGAGCAAGACACATTATTTGACAAGATTAAAAACTGAAACAGTTTTTATTAAGAAGATAACACAAGTACCCGTGGTAGATAAGAAACTTGATCAATAAATCAAACTTTAACTGTCAGTAGTAATCACTATTAGCCACTACAGAATCTAAGGAGCAGTTAGGTTCAATAAAACGAGTTGTGGAAAAGATAAATCTTAACAGAGCAGACAAAAAATAGCAATATGTGTTTGCATTTAAAGTGAACCAGAATGTCAAATGGCCCAGTTATCTAATCCAGTAATTCAATGAGGAGTTAAGTATAAAAATGCTTAAAAAAATCCATAAATGAGAAACTTTAGAGATTACTATTCCACCAAGACATTCAACCAAGACTTTAATCTTTTTGGCTATTATTAATATGAAGTAATCAAAGAGGCCTTAATCAAAATATAAAAGCCATGGGAAAATATTCAGGTCATGGTTCAAATCTGAATATGCATTCTGGTGTCTATTTGGTTATTGAATAGATTTTCAATTGAAGTTTTCAGTTCATAGTCACATACTGTGATAGTACACAATAAGGCTCTTCTTTTTATAAAAAAATCATCCGAGTTACCAACATGTGTTGTCTTTGTTTTCTTCCTGGGCACAAGATTTATTATGATACAATTATCCAATTGATTTTGAAAAGATATGTAATACTTTACCAGAAAGGAAAACAATCATAAGAAAGAAGTCTGCCTTTAACATATTTACATGTTGGAAACAATTTAAAAAGTTTTGGAATTCATTCTTTTCATGCATTAATGTAAAGAAAAGAATTAAAAAGTTTTCTCAGAAAAAAACACTCAATCATGAATAAATGGCTGGCTGCATCTTGAGTAAATTAAAAAAAAAAAAAAAAAACCAACAAAAAAAAAAACTGAAAAAACAAGATAAATACACACCTCTGACTGGGTAACTTATAAAATGGTTCTGCAAGGTTTTGGCCCATGGCATTTTTATAGTTTTTAACAGAGAAATATAAAGACCAAAATGATCGGTCTTTTTGTGAACCATATGATTCTTCTTCACATTGGTTTACTTGGGACTGCCATCCACCAAGATCACTTTCATCTTCTGATTGTTCTTTAACACAAGTTTTCTGAATATTCTGCAGTTCCCTGTAATAAAAAAAAAAGTACAGTGATAGTAAAGCACAAAAACAAGCTGATAACATAAGGCCATCTTTTTCTCTCTTCTTTGGCCTTCATTTAAAAAAAAAAATTCAAGTATACAAAGATGTAGAGTAAATCAAAAAATTTGTAAAACAGTGAACACTTGGGAAAATCCTAAACTTAATTTTTGTAGACATTTTTAAATTTGATAGTATCTTTTTTTTTTAAATCACTGAAGAAACACAGTCTGAAGCAGGCCTTCTGAGGAGTTGCAATGATACAAATACTTTTATTTTAAATGTTGAAAAGGACTCAACACCGTAGATTAAAGAATTCATTCTCTAACTTTCAATATGATTATACATCAAAGTCTTTGAAAACCTTCCCTTGAATGTTAATACTGACAGAAATTTATCAGTATAGATAAATCCAAATCTTGGACTTTTCAATAAAAGGAATTCAGAGGAAATAATTCTTTATATCCAAGAGTTGTATGTCTGCAATAACTTTCTAAGACATGGAAATATCTCAAATGATTTGAATCCTATTTACTTCAATGTGGAGATTTTTTTTGTATTTTCTCTGTGAAATGTAGTGTCTTTTTCTGGTTCAGATTACTCTTTCTATTCCTCTCCTTACGTCTCATTGGAATTAAGTAAAAAAGAATGTTTTGATATTGCTTCTAGGCTAGTCTAAAAGCTCCAGCAGGTTTCAACTTAAAAGAATCCCAAATAAAAAAAAAAAATCAGATTATCCAAATCAAAAGAAATTTTATTTTATTTTTTTAAAATACAAAGCAAAGCCATATGACTAATTTCATCCTCTTAAAATAACTTATGTTCAATATGTAATTTGTACATCTTTTTTATACTCCTCAGCACAAAATAGATTATTGTTAAAGAATGAACCCTCAGAAAAATAGAAACAAAATAAAAAAAAGACTCCTTCAGCAGAAAGTTTGCTATTCAGCAAAATGAGTTATAACATAATTTTAAGGTTTCCTCATCAGCCTTCTTGTCTGGACAGAACAATCTAAACCTTAAACATTACATTTATCTTGTTTTTTTGTCATTAAACTGTTTCTAGAATATTGAATATATTATGGCATTTATAGCATTATTTCAATAACCATTTTCTTCTACTTGGCTAGTTCCTCACACATTTTTTCAGTAACATTCCATTCATGTCTTTGTTATACATATAATTGGTTACTTCTCTATTTTCACACTGAAAAAGAATAATACTTATACTTTAATCTCAGTCACAAATTGAGGGAAAGCAAAGATAATTTTCACATTGAACTTTAATCATCCATAACACAAAACTAATATCTCTCTCAGCAACTGCTAATTACTTTATACAGATATTTATTATATATAATAAAGTCAAAAAATAAAAAATAGTTTAACAAATTGTTAATAACGTGCACCTATTTTTAAACAAAGCATTTTAAGAGGTTAAAAATTAAGTATGATATTATTCTACAACACAAATTGTGCATGCAGGTGATTTTTATACACAACTTCTTCTCTGACTAAAATTTCACACACAAAATCCTTGAATCAAAAGTTCTTAGCTAAATGTACTTCCAAAAACCCAAGTAGAAATATTTTTGTAAAGGCTTGATTAAGCCAAGAACTTTTCAATGTCTTCTTGAAGTTTAGAATGAGGAAACTTTGATTTTCATAATCTGAATAATTTGAACTTAAAATATTCAGGGTGTGAGTAAAGTAGGGATTTTTTTTATCAATAAAAAAGAAAAAAGAAATACAACTTATTACAGAAATAATTAACAGCAAATCATTTTCATTTTGGAATTCAAAAATAAAATCAGCCAATAGCTGCATATTGCTTAGAAAACATTAGTGAATATTAATAACTAAATATGAATGAATGTTTTCTTTTCTTTTTTAAAGAAATCTGATTCTCAAACATGACTCATTAAATTATTAATAATATTCACAACAAGGAATTAAGAAAAACAAAGGATGCTCTGCTCATTATTCTGTAGCACGAAGACAAAAAATGCAAGGCATAGATCAGGATTCAACCAGTTACACTAAAGAGAGGAGGAGAAACTCACCTTATTCGTGCACTACTTTTCACAGCCTTTCGGGCATCAGAATCATGCTTCCTGGAAGCAATTATTTTCCTCAATGTGACTGCATCCTAAAAAATAATAAAAACCTCCTTGAAAAAAAGGGGGAAATTTATTTCCAGATAAATTGTAAGAGGAACCACATGGCCAAGCAGGTGACAGCAAAAAGAACAAACAGAACCAAACAAAATGAAAATCACCAAACGAAAGGAACAATTAAGAGAGCAAGAAAGTGAGAGAGGGAACTCAGCCTCTAACTACAATAAAAACATCCATGCACAATGCCAAGGAACTGGGGAGCAAGAAAGCTTGGCTCTTTAAGGTTGAAAGTCACAATGGGAAATTAAAAGCAAAAAATAATGTTGATGAAAAGATCTGTTGAATCACCCTGTAAACTAATAACCAATGGAATAATGTATCAACATGATGATGATGATGATGGATGAAAATACAGTTCCTATCAAGGACAAACAATATAAAAAATGTTATCTATTATGCGCAGATAATGATTCCATGTGCATCCAACTTGCTAAGTATTCATTTGAGATCAAACAATAAGTACAAAGTTTGGGCCAGAATTAAGACATACCAGAGGCCATGTGGATGCACAGGTGATGATGAAGGAAGACAAACAAGTTAAAAAGATTGAAATTTGATTTGAACAAACTTCTTCCTTGGAACAAAAATTCCACAAGCAAAACTGTGAAAAAAGAAATTTCACTACTTGATAATAAAGATGCTCAGATCAAAGTATCTTCCTCCTTTCAATTCAGTTGAATACATTACAACAAACAGATACGTGACAGAAATTACAATTAAAAAGAATTTTATTTTCTTTAACAACATAGTTTAAGCAATTAGCAAGACTATAAAGAAAGCCAAAGTTCAGCAACATTTTTCAGGCAAACAGAAGAACTTACAAGACTCAATGGAACTCTATCCAAAACTAAAAGCAAGTTCTGTATTTGTTGAAATCCAGTGCTTCCAATACCATAAGTAAAATTTATTTTCCTCAATTCCAAATACTAATTTTTTTTCAAAACTGGTTGCAGAGAAAAGAAATTAAAGAAAACTTTTTACAATAAGGAAGAGAGAAACTAAAATATTTGGCATGTTTGCAGGATGACAATAAGACTTTGGGCTAATTTGCAGAAGTCTATGGAAATGAAGCTTTTATATTTTTGGAAGCTATTTTTAGAGATTGCTACCAGCAGCTTTGTGCACAAAGAGAAATATTATTAATAGTTCATATCAATAGAAAGCAATGTCAGAGAGAATCTCAGGTTTGCACATTGGGTATCTAACTAGACTTGCCTGCTTCTTTAATGTCCACTCCCATCTGCAAAAGATTCCTTGTCCAAACTCTTTCAAAAGTTCAGCTGAGACTGAATATGGCATGGTAGTGGTAGTGGCAGTAGAGACAACAACAAGAATGTGCCTTATGGAAAGTCATGAGAAAGACATGGCAGAAATCAGGGTGGCTTTAAAGAGTATAATAAGAGTGGGAAATGTGTGTTAACAACATGTGTGGGTGGCCGTGAAGATAGTTCTTGATGAGAATATGATGATAATAAGAGTGTGTTGTTGAGAATAGAAATCTAAGAAAAGCACAATGATAACATGCACTCGCAGGAGATAGTGGTGGCATTGGCTGTTTGCTGCTGTTTGTTACACCAAAAATTAAGAGAAAATCACAAGAGCAAAAGTGGAGGAAAGGACAAGTGGAGACACAGTTTTGCTGGATATTCTGCTCTTTTTGAGAGAGAACAAAATGAAGTGAAAGAGAATCATGAATGAATGAGAACAAAAATTTCGTTTGATGAAAGAAGAAAAAAGAAAATTCTGAATATTTCATATGCTCTTGGTTGGTGGATATTTTGGTTCAAAAAGCTGCTCAAAATCAAATAGACATGAACTGGTGAAACAATATTTCGATGAAATTAATCTCTGTGAGACTAGAAATATTCAATATAGCAATCATTTTCTCAGAGTTTAAAAAAGGAAAAAAATATTCATAAGTAACAAATTAATCCATTTGCAGTCTATACTGGTCCAAGTCAGAAACATGACATAAGTGATAGCAACAGAGATTCAAACAATAAATCGGACTTTTTGTCTTCTATCAAAAACTCAGAAAGAAAAAGAATTTATATCATAAAAATACAAGACACAAAATGTTAATTGTTTGTTTACCCAAAATGTTGTCAGTAATTTATCAGTCATGTCAATCTAAAGAAGGATTTAATCTTTAAAGAAAAACAACATAAATAGGAGAATCTTACAAATTTGAATTCTGGCCAAACTTTCTTTGGACAAAATTCTTTTGATATTAAATATCTATTTCCAGTTGAAATTCATTCAAAATCAACGATCAACTAAGACCACTGAGTGAGATTTCTATTTAAGATGCCAGTGGAATTAAACTTCTCACCCAATTTATCCCAAACTGGTTAATCTATAAAATGTATTGAGTAATGTTTGTATCTCTAATAAATCACCAGGTCTTAATATGTCTCAGTTTGATCATGAATCATCACATCTACATTTGTAACAAAATGAAATATAAAATAGATTAACAGTTTGTAATTAAATGACCAAACAAAAAAAAAAAAAAAAAAGAAAAGAAATTATTATTATAGTATGACAAAATATAGTTTTTCAATTGCAATTATTTATGTTTCTAATTAAAATCTGTTTTATATATATATACATATATATACATACATATATAAAATCTGTTTTATATATATTATATATATATGAGAGAGAGAGAGAGAGAGACAGAATAAAAAGAAAAACATTATTTGTAAGATAATCAGAGGAAATAGTTCCACAATTAAAGAAAATTATTTAATGAAATAAGAGGGACAAATTCTAAAGAAATAAACGAGTAAATTGATGGCTTGCAAATTTAATAAGAATTAAATTTCAGGGCTAATTTTCAGGAGAGGCAAAAGGTGAGAATACAGAAGTTGGAAGGAAATGCAAAAGAAACAAGAGCTCTTAATAGACTTAATCAAGCTTAATACTGACTAAACATAAGAGGAAAGAACATACTGAATGTAGACAACATTTGCCAAAGGACTTATTTTTCAAACCATCACAAAAGTGAAGTAAAATATTTAAAAACAAATATTTATCAAGAGATGGTAATGGCAAACAAAATGACAGAAAGAAATGCACAACCATTCAAAATTCACTTAGTAATTTAGCTGGAACATTAATAATAAAAGAACCAAACTTTGAACGAATTATTCCAAGATATAAATTCTTGAAAACAAGATCTCTACTATTAATCACAAGCAACAGAGGCTTAGATTCCTTACAGCTAATGAGGCTGATGAAAAAAAAATCATTTGGAATTTCCATCACAACAGAAAATTACAACTGATTTCCAAAATCAAATATGCATTTCTAACAAATAGGATTAACCAGTCAGAAGTAAATCAGACTGTTCTTAAAGTTATTAAAATCTAAGATGAACTTAGAAGATAGCTTTTCTTTGAAACAGCCATTTGTAGAAAGAGAGAAAGAAATGAATGTAAGTAATGCCAAATGCTAGAGAAAAGACAAATACAAACTTTCAAGCTTATCTTCATTTAAACTTACAACTCTTCAAAGCTTGGTCTAGATTAACCAACCAAACAAAGTAAATAAATAAATACCATAAATCTTAAAAAGAAGAAACATGTTAAACAGTTGTACAAGGTCACAATTCATTTAAGATCTTAAGACCAAAAGGAAGAGAAAAAGGAAATTGTTTTTATATAACTTGCACTTAATCTGAAAATAAAATTTTTTAAAAAATTATTTCAACTACTTTGTTCATCTCATTTTTATTACAACAAAAACGAGATGAAAGAAAAACTAGTTGAAAATTTATAATGATAAATTTGGACTTAACATAGATTAATTTATTAGCAGCTCAAGGGTTTGAAATCACAATCAAATGTTGCATATTTTTTAATGAATGTTTCTAATAACAAGTGGTCAGAATTTAACCAAGCACAAAAAATCAAGTCACAGACACTATGATCCCTAGGGCAATTCAAAATAAAACAAAAGATTTATTAAAGTCACACCTAAAACCAACATGCTTTCAACCATAATTCTGCCTTCATATTTATATTTAGTAAGAAAAGTATACATTTTCACTGTTGCTGCAAGGAGTATTTTTCTTTTATTTCTGTTCAAAATAAGCAGCAAGAACCAATTTATTTTTCTTATTTTAGCTATTCATGAAAAAAAAAAAAAAAAAAAAAAAAAAAAAAAAAGTTTTTTTGTAAAACTGATAATTCCAAATTTGTTGGCAATATGTTGTTAAATAAAGACTTTTTTGTTGTTAAAAGAATCTAACAATTCAGAAAACAATGCACTAGTATAAAATACTTTTATTGTCTGAACACCCAAAGTTTAATTACTCAGAATACTGATACCTGATGGCAATTCCTATAAGTTGATTTTGTTTGTTACTATCATTTTGTGAAGTTAAAAACAAGAATGAACATGGCTGAGAATTCTGTTTTGAGTGCATGAAAGAAGAGGTAGCCTTTCATAAATAACAGAATTAGAGCATGGCAATCTTCAGGTTTATAAGCTTTGAATTATATATTTGAAAAATTTAATAGAACATTTAATAGACAGAACTTGTCGATATTATTCAACCAAACATGTTTGAAAGAATTATTGCTATCAATAGCAGACCCAATGAAATTAAATGAATATTACTAAAAGGCAGTCTTCTTATAGAATGGTCAATATCAATAATTAGATATAGCTCTGGTAAAAACTAGAATTAAAATCACAACTAATAACTATAATTGGCTACAAGAAGTAAATGATCTGCAGGCCACAATCTTGGTGACCTGAAGGTCAATTACTATGTGTGAAACTTCTAGTAGCCAACTATAGTTTTATTTATGATTTTTATATATCATAATTCTTATTAAAACCTTCACTGTACATACATTACATAATATAGCTAGTTGGAAACTCAATTTCTCTGCAGAGAGATGCAATCATATATCACACAAAAAATTGAATGAACAAAAATAAAAATGGTACTCAAAAG